TTATATTTTGTACCAGTTACATTTTGGAAAATAGCAGGTCTGGGGAGAAACTACTTATCTTCCAAATTCCTAGAGAGCCAGTTTGGTGTAGTGGTTAAGGCACCAAGCTAGAAAAAAGGAGACCATGAGTTCTAGTCCTGCCTTAGGCATGAAACCAGCTGAGTAACCTTGGGCCAGTCACTCTCTCTGAGCCCTAGGAAGGAGGCAATGGCAAACCACTTCTAAAATCTTGCCAAGAAAGCTGCAGGAACTTGTCCAGGGACTCCCCAGGAGTCAACAGTGAGTCAAAGACACACACACACACAAACTCTGGGGGAAAATCACATCTTCCAAATTCCTAAAAAGTAGCTCACTTTATTCTATTAATTAATCATAGACACACTCTTTGTTACCTAAGGGATGATAACACTGTGAAAGAGATGAGCTACAATGCACTAGAAAATTTTACAACTTTTCTCATGATTTAAACAGCCCAAAATTTCTTATCACAATATATGCTATTCAAAAAAGAATATCTGTATCACACCTAACTACTGTTTGTCCATAGCCACTATTTAGAAATAATTCTATCCCTCATTTCGCCCTTCAACATTCCTCTTCTAATCCCCAACAACAGCTGTATTCATATACCCTTTCCTCAGAACTACTGTATATCTGTGCCACTAATAAAAAGGAGTGATTCATGAAACTTATGGAATAATACATTCCTTGGTCTTTAAGGTGCTACAACACTATTTTCTTTTAATAATCAGTGATGAATCTGTTCAGTAATTAGATAAGAATCTCACCTTAGAATTTCATATCATAAAACCAAGATGGTAAACATATATTTTCAAATGAATCAGTGGAGTCAACATGCAGCAAGGTTTTCCCACTTCACCTTAATAAACTGTGTTTTGACAAAAGTAAAATAAAATTCCCCAGTTTTCCATTGAGCAACTGAGTGCATATCTACAAGGCATCTAGAAGTAAAGGCAAAACTGCCATTCTCTGATAATATTTTCCATAAATTTGAGGGCTAGATACCACTAAGACCTTGACTGACTGACTGACTGACTGACTGACTGACTGACTGACTTCCTCCCTCCCTTTTTATCTCTTATGCCTATGTGATCCTAAAAACTATGCAAAATTGTTATCTATAGAAAACTGAAATTCAGTATTCTCATTATGTTTATAAAACAAATTTAAATTGATTTTCATGAATATGCCTGTTTCAGACAAGAGATAATTTTCCCAGCATACTATAAGATTACTTCCCCACAGTATCAACCATGTCAGCACAATGATAAAAACATACAAATCGGTATCACTTTCACCAATGCATTCACTTGTAAAATTAAAAGTTGAACCTCCCTTTCTATTCTGGCAGGTAAAACTGTCTATATAGGGGTTACTTTTGTAAAGAAAGAAATTAAATGGCTTTCTCAAATATATATAAGAAATGACACATGTTTTTAAACATTTGACTACATAATGCATTTGTCTGAGAATAGGACCCCATGAATATTTCACAAAGGTCACATTTTTCATTTGGCTTATGGAACACTTATAAACTAGGAGTCCTAACACAGACTCCCAAGCATACAACAGTGTCAAAGATTATAGTTCGTTTTCCTTTCTCCCTCACTAGATGAGTTGCAAATGTATTCAAACACAGTATGAAAAAAGTATTTTATTTTGCTGAAAATAACGGACTCCTGGACTCCACTCGCCTGAAAGAAAAGCTGAGGTTCATCAAGCATAAACATGGGAAAATACATTGGTTTAGAAACCCATAAATCCTTATTTGAATCTGCCAACCTGAAAGCGAAGTAAAGCCCGAAAAAACTATTTTTCTTAAATGCTATGTCTGATTAAGCCATACTCTTAAATGACAGCTGAACTTTAACATTAATACGATATTATTTAAATAACTGTATGACTTTTTTTTACACTAAAAATGATGAATGATTTTTGGACAGCTCAACTGACATAAAGCAAGAAGCCCCTTTAATGAGATTTGACAAAATGGAGACATATGCAGAATATTTGTTACAGCTCATATCCCAGCCCCTTCCTAGGGAGGATATAGGCTTGCCCAAGAATTTTTTATTATTATTATTATTATATTGATTGTCTACAGGCGCTGAACCATTTCCTTCAATTGCCACTTCCTTTCTCCATGGATATTGAATTTAGCTTATGTCATTTACATATTACTCTTAATCAGAGAATTTGGTATGTTACAGTTCAGAGACTAAATTGTGAGAAGTTTGTGAAAAGGATGTACAAAGTGCAGTTATGTTAACATTTGTAATCTGATTGTACAAAGAAGGGGAGAAACAAGCATTTTTTTTTCTTTACAAAGTTAAGGATAGGTACATATCTTAAATAACATAATATGCAGTATTCTTAATATGAGAAGTTGAATATATTTTTTATGGCTTAAGAAGTATTTTTCATATTACAATACTATTTTCATTTGGGAGACCATGGAAACAGTGGAATGAAGATCATGATAAATGGCTGTATATAAATAACTTGCAATTTGAAGAAGAAAGCAAGAATATGGATTGGCCCTTGAAAGGAGACATACACTGGGCACTAATTATTTTGTAAGAATCTTTAGAGATGGGTAATATTCATACGTTAAATTTATTGTGAAAAATGAAATGGATAAAACACTTTAAGAATAGTTTTGATTTTTTTTAAAAAAGTTAGATTTTTCCCTTAACCTTTCAAACAAATCTTACAGCATAACCAATTAATATAGACTGCTCTCCAACAAAAAATTATCTTTTGACTTTCTGAAGAATAATTCTTATTTTTAAAAAATAAGAAATTACTGGTTAAATATGTAATTAAATAAAGACATATACCAGTGGTGTTATTTCTACCTTTTTCAGGTACAATCAAACCAAACTTAGGAATTCTGTTACATACCACCATTACATGTTAATAGTGTTTAATCTGTATGACAAAGCATTTAAGCTAAAACTTGGAAGATTCTAAAATAAAATAAAACTAAAATATCAATAGATTTAATGAGAACCTATAGCAACAAGTTCTATAGGTAGTCTTCACTTAATGACCCTAATGGAGACTGGCAACTCTGACACTAAGTGAAGCAGTCGTTGAGTGGGAAATCATGTGACCGCAACTGTGCTTTCTGGCTGGAAAGAAACAAGACTTCTCAGTTTCACACCTTTGGCTTTTGTTTGCCTCCTAACCACTCCCCTGCCCTTTGGAATGCTCAAGTGCCTGCTTACTGTACACATCAAAACCAAGGCAATCGCACCAGTGAGAGGGGGAAAAGAATAGCAAGCAATTTATGTAGGCAACTTCTCCTTTGCCTGACCCTTCCCCGCCCCCCCCCCCCCCCTAGCCGAGAGATTGGAGAGGAAGGGATTGCAAGAGAGTAAGCTGCTTGCTCTTCTATATATCAAAAGCAATGCAATTGTGCTGGCAGCCCAGGGCTAGGAGCCACAGGCATGCTATGCAAACAGCTTACACTACTCTGTTGAAATCTCTTCCCCTCCAATCTCTCGATTCTGTGAGGGGGTGGGAGAGGAAAAAAGCAAACAATTTCTGTAGGTGATCTTTCTTTTGCCTGACCCTTTCCCACTGCCGGCATGATCACATTGTCACAAAGTGTAGACAAGCAAACAGCTTACTGTCTTGAAATCTCTCTCCCCCCAATCTCTCCACTCTGCAGGGGGAGGGGGAAGGGTCAAGCAAAGTAGACATTGCCTACAGAAATCTCTTGCTTTTTTTCTCTCCCTCCCCTCTCCCCCCACTTTTCAGAACAGAGAGACTGGAGAGAAAGGGATTGCAAGACAGTAAGCTGTTTGCTGTTCTACACAGAGAGAGCAATGTGATCGCGCCAGCAGACTGGGACTGGGAGCCACAGGCATGCTACACGAACAGCTTACAGTACTCTCTTGAAACCTCTTCCTGTCCAATCTCTTGGCTCTGCAAAGGGGGGTGGGACAGAAAAAAAAACATAGGTCAGGCACAGGACAAAGCATACTGACTGTAATGGTGATCACATGACTGAGGGATGCTGTGAAGGTAATAAATGGCCATAAATGGGACATAAAGTTATTGTTTTCAGCACCATCGTAACTTTCAATAGTCACTGAATGACTGGTCGGTAAGTGAGGACTACCCATATAGTTCTTGTACCTAATAAACTCACTGTATAACCTTTTTTTAAAAAAAAAGCAGTCTACAGTTTTTATCCTGATTGTGTTAATTATAAAATCTTAATATTTTGGGGAGGGTACTCAAAGCTGACAAATTAATTACAGTTCAAACTGATCCACACTTTGGTAATAAGAATGTGAAACAACAGAGCTCCATTTTTGCAGGGTAGACTATGGTTTTATGGGAAATGGGAGATTTGAGTGCATGTACAAGCTACGTCTCAGCCCTATGAGTCAAACCAAGCAACTGATTCCACAGGAAGACCAGAATTATTTTATTGAAAGAGACTATAGTAACAGAATCTTTCAAGTCTGCCTTTATCTTCCCTTTCTTCCCTCCTATACCGCAGGGTAGTCCAAATCTCTAAGAATTTCCTGCCTCTTTGGGTTTAACACATGGTTCTACCCCTGGTTTGGACTGAATAGCTTCTGGATAGTTTCTCCAAGGTCATCTCCATGGCTCCATGCACCTCTCTACCATATGAAAGAAGAGACATTCAGAGCTTGTGTTCTCTGTTCTGCAAAAAAAGTGCAAGAGTCCTCTTCTACAGTATTACCTTTTTTATTTATGCTTTATTTTATTTGCTCATGTTATCAGGCCTGTTCTTTTTGTTCACAAGAACTGTCCTAGCATTAGGAACAAAAAGTGCATCAGAAAGAACATATAATAAATTCAATTGATTATTTTAATTATGATTTTCATTTAAAGTACATCTTTTAGGGAGAGAGAAAGCAAACCATTTAAACTCCCAGAATTCCCCAGCCAGCATGCATGGAGTTGAAGTCCACATCTCTTAAAGTTGCCAAGTTTGAGAAACATAAATTTTAAAAAAATGGATGTATTTAAAATAAAGTTTTTGTGTACAAGTGTATACCTGAGAATTCAACTCATTTTGAAATTATACAAAATTATGATAAAAACTATGAATTTTATCTATCAATCTATATGAGAAAAAGGAAGAAAAAGAAAGAGAAAGGTTCCCTACCTTGCCCTTACCTTCGTAACATTCCTGTAAGGATTCTTGAACTCTTTCCCAAGTTTGCATCAGTTTCTCTAAGCTGCGGAGGAATAATATTCTAAGAATGAACAATGTTCAGATACACTGAGTTCAATTTTGCTAACACAAGTTGATCGTAGCTCTGCAGAATCTTCACTTATTTTATTTTCTTCATTTATTTACTACAGTTTTGAGGCCGCCTGGCTCCAAGCAGCTTACATTAAAAAAGTAAGAACAATACAACAAAAGAAATAGATAATAAGTGTCCAGAGGTGTCCACTTGACAATTAAGTCTGAGACTTTCAGCTGACAAACTTCATAATTAAATAAAAACCACCACAATCTTTCTAATTCTATAATGGAGAACACCTATGCTACTGCTAGAACACATACTTTAATCCTAGGTATCTGAAATTGACAAGTTCTTGAGTACCAGAGTAGGAAAGTCTGTTGCTTGACAAATTGGATACGAACTTCAGCTGCTCAGAGTTGGCTGGAGCCAACTTCAATTCTGGGAGCCAGGCAGATAAAAATTTAATAATAATACAAATAATAATTTTTATGGATGAACAATGTTGGTCTGAAGCAAAAAAGATTTTTAAAAAAGATAAAACATTTCAGAAGCTCTACCTACCTTTAGGAAAAAAAGCATTAAGGGCTCCCATTCATTAATATTATCTATGAATACTGAGTTCCAGACAGATTTTTTTTTCCTTATAATTAAACTTACCCTTTCTCGAGCCCGCTGGATCTTCTCTCTGTCATGACTGAGATTTTCTAATATGTCTTGACCAATTTGTTCTGCATGAAGGAAAAGAAAAAAGAAAAAAACAAGCCAACAAGTGAAATACAACAAATGAAAAACAGACAATACTTCTATAACATCTGCAATAAATTAACATAAATTTAAATACAATATTTGATAAACAAGACCAAAAAAATAAGAATAAATTTAAAATATAAAAAGTGAAAAACTAGCAGTTTACAAATATGTAACTGGGCTGCATAAACACTGGCAAAATTGAAGAATTAGTAGCTTGGATTTAAATAGAATTCTGCAAGAACTTTGAGATTTATAAGGCCTACTCTTGAAAAACCTCCAATATGTTTGAGTTTTGTAAGACCAACAGTTCTTCCTAAGGTTTATGATCCATTCATACTTAACAAAACTCCATTTCTGTCCATATTTACATATGGATCCTTTTGGAAACAAAGAGCAAAAGTGGACTTCCTTGTTCTCTCTTCCATAGACAATAAGACTACATAAACGGTAGTGAATGAATGAATGCAATGTATTGAGCACAGGGGATAAGGAAGAATGGAAAGCTTCCTAAGATATATTTTTGATACTTTTGATGAACAGAGGAAGCTAGGAATCACCACTGTGTGGGAAAGTTCTATTCTAACAGCATGTATGTACTGTATGTTATAATATGCAGAGAGACTTCCTGCCAATGGAGTATTCAAGAGCTTCCAAGTCCCATTGATAACCTATTTTTAAAATTTCCCAAAATTAGTTAAATAACAGTTTGAAAGTTTGGAAGTTATAGCTCTGAAAAGGAAAGAGCAAGGTATGCACAGAGGTGTTCATTACACTAATTGTTCTTTGATTGGTTTGATTAATAAAATTAACTATTCCAGAAAGACAGCAGATATTCATAGTAACCTTGTAAGTGTAAACAATATCAATATTTCCCACTACATCTAATCATGAGTTGACATGACTGGAGAGGTAGGTCATCCATAAAAGCAGGGCATTCATACTGGTTTCCTACTCTCTATTTTTACCACATATCTCTAGAAGCAAAAGATGGTTCAATATTAACATTGGGAAAGACCTCTGAAAGAGGTGCTTTAAATGTGCTGGAGCACAAGGAACACTTATTTTTGAACTGATAAATCATGGGGAAATTGTGAAGCAAGTGGCTGGGCATGCAAATACATGCAGAGATGGTTATAGACACAGCTATTTTAAGAATTATGAAATCTGTTGTAACACAAACTGTCTCCAAAATTCACAACAAATACATGCAGAGATGGTTATAGACACAGCTATTTTAAGAATTATGAAATCTGTTGTAACACAAACGGTCTCCAAAATTCACAAAATTAAATAAAAAATAAAGCTATATGATTTTAAAGAGAAATGTTGAGAACAGATTTGGTCCTTCAGTCCCTTTTTAAAGAAAGACAATTTGTCAACTGGAAAATTTAATAGCCAAGTTTATTGCTTAACTATCCAGTCAACAATTAGGATTAC